CTGCCCCTCCCCGTTATGACCCTAATGTTCTGGCCCACTCCCGCGTCTATGGTCCCTCCCCCCTGGCCACCAGGTTCACCGGCAGGCCCTTCGACACAAACATCTGAGGACGGGATTGGGCCTAGGCCCCCCTGACACTTCTGCAAAGCACTCAGTGCAGGAGGTACCCAGCTGTGCTCCCGATCCACACACACATACACACACATACGATCAGTCAATCCCCACAAACAAGTTAAAAACAAGGGAACAGCAATATCATCAATAAAAGTGGTCCATTATGATTGTTGAGTATCTGCTTAGAAAGAGCATCTACCTGTATTTTGGCTGTTATTATGAGTTATCTGACAGTGCATAACTTATTAGAACAGTACAGTATCCCCAAGTTATAGGGAGAAGGTATGTTCTATGAGCCAATGGCTATTCCATTTTTGAATGCAGCAGCTAGAGTGGCATTATGGGATGATGTGGAGGATATTAATGATTTATATTTTGAAGCATAAGATTTCGCTCCCTAGTTATCTGTATTTCTTTTACAACCAAAATTGAAGCATTAGAACTGAGGTTGTTTTTAATATTTTATATCTTGAATCCAGAATCAAAATATGATAAACATTCTGCATATTTGATGACTAATTTCATGTAACTCTTGCCTTTACTCTGTATATTTATATTCTAGATAATGGGCAGCTTTGAGTCTTAAGTCAGATTTTTCTTTTAGCTTGGATTGTTTTCAATCAAAATAATTTAAATCAGCATAGATAAGAACTTCATTTATTTAGATGAAGACTTCTACTTCTTAAGTGATACTATACATCTTACTACTAAAGCAGGGGTCCCCAACACCCATGCTAGGAAGTGGGCCGCATAGCTGGAGGTGAGTGAGGGGTGAGCAAGTGAAACTAAAACCACCCCCACCCCTCCCAGGCTGGTGGAAAAATTGTCTTCCACAAAACCGGTCCCTGGTACCCAAAATATTGGAGACCACTGCACTAAAGACTGTATTTTTTTCAGTTAATTGGTGTATTTTTATACTGTTTTGTTTTACATGTAGATCTCCATTTACTTGTACCCATTGTTCATATAGAGACCATGTCTTAAAAGCATTTCTGTATATTAAAAAGCCATAATCCATGATATTTTTGAAATTAAATATTGGAGTATAAAATTATAAATGGAATATATAAATAGCAAATAAAAAAACCAAAGTGGTAAACCAAAATAAAACCCCTAGACCAATATGAATAAATAAAGTTAAATAGCTACTTGGTATGGTTAGTACAGTTACTTTTCATCAGTGAAAATAAAATGCCTAGTTAAATAATTTAGTTCTGGAATATGACTTAATATATTCTTTTATATACACTAATAATAAAAAATGGAAAATGCTTAATCCAGTTAACAGATTAAATGTACCGTTGAGTATTTACATCTGTATTATCTATCTATCTATCTATCTATCTATCTATCTATCTATCTATCTATCTATCTATCTATCTATCTATCTATCTATCTATCTATATCTTGCTTTTTCTTTTGGATTAAATACTATTACGTATAATGAGAGAAAAAGTAAACAATAAACTACAGAAATTAAGATAAGGATGAGAAACATAGCTCAAGCAGTGGACGTGATGAACCAGGGTCTGGGGGCCGTTAAGAACTGGATGAGCGCTAACAAACTGGTACTCAACCCGAACAAGACCGAGTGTCTGTGGTGTTTCCCTCCCA